TCTGTTGGAACTCACTCAGTCAGTGCAAAAGTCCCATCATGCAATTTGCTGCAGAATCTAAGCACAGTAAGATTGGGTTGGAAAAATCCGATGTCCTACATGGTATTTGGCAAAAGAGAAAGAAAAAAGGTTGTACTGCATGGAATTCAGTGGTGGCAAAACTGGGATCATATTAAGTAGATCTCCAAAAAGAAAATGTTTGCATTTAGCTAGTGGAAATGCCCGACAGCTAAACAACCTTCTACCTGGCTCAAGGAATGGGACTAATGAGAAGATCTGGCTGCCGACTCTTAGAAAATAAATTAATTGCATTTATTCAGCTGCTTAGCTGAACAAAGATGTTTAGAAACAGGACGTGTATTCTTTGCATAGCTTCAAAGCTGACACAATGGGACTGCATTCTCCTTTTACTTAATGTTCTGGAAGCCATCATACGCAAAATGAAAAAGTATAATACACCATGAACATTCCTCAGTGGAGGAGAAATATTTAGCTTTGGTTTGTGGGTTGGTCTGTTCTATAGTGTTCAACCAGTGTGCCAGTTCTTAATTTATCAAACTAACAATCCGAAATCTAGTGTCATTCCTTATTTTATTTGTTGTAGAATTATGTATGGCACACACAATTCTGTGTAACATGACACATCTCTGTAAAATGATAGACTGCACAAAGCTGTGAACCACTGACACAAAGCACAGATAGTTCATTTTCTTCTTGTTAGATGTTAAAACTGTCATGCATTTAAGTTTATTTCTAAATCCCCAAAGTTTGGGTGGATTTCTTTCCTTTTCAGTTTGAACTGCTTGCCCAGCACCACAGAAAATATATATATATCACCATTTAGCACTCCTTTACATCCGTAATTGTATGCAGACCAAAAAAAAAGAAGGGGGAGTAAAAAACATTTACTGCAGTGCTAATTCAAGGTCAAATTTTACTATTTAGAAGATATTGTTACTGGCTAACAGAAACAGCACATAATATTCCTTACTCAATCTGTGAATGGGCAAAAGTTCACTTTTCATTTCATAAATCAAAGAGAACTGCTTTAATAAGGAAGTGAAAAATCACACTTTATTAGAGAATTCTAACTACCCAGTCTGTCCTTTGGTAAACCTGGTTTTGGTGTGAATACATATGCCAGAAAAGAAAAACATAGTGGCAAATTGTAGAAAGTTCACTCCATAGTTGGTTTTTACACATACAGGCCTAAAAAGTTCATTTTTACAACACTGTCTTTTTCACAGACCATTTTAAACTTAAGATTGGTTCTACTGAATACCAAGCCATGGCTTGCACTAACCAGTTAGGATTTCAAACTATTATTTGTATTCCAGGTTTACCGATAAGCCATAGCTGGTGAACTGTCAATCTCTGACCATCTTCTATGAGAATTCTCAGGTGCTATTACAAATGCTATTATCATGCTCCAAACCATGCTTCGTGGCTTCAGATAATTCAATATTTGCTCAAACTCTGGTTTCCAACCCACATCAAAATATGGATTGCTGTTCGTGGTCTGGTGCCTGGTTTGTCAGGTGGAGCCAGTTTGAAATCATGACATTATTTTTACACTCTCAGCCCATCCTGGTGAAATTGGTAGTGGAATTAGAGTGGGGAAGCTGCATTTTGACTAAAGTCACTTGCTGATCTGCAGCTCTCAAACTGAATTGCCAAACAGAATGTGGTCCTGCTCTTTATTGCTTTGAATTCAACAAGGTGGCTGGATGATTGCCCTAAAAATACTTTTTTCATTCCTTATACTGGTAAAAACTGCTTGTAACAGATAGAAAGTGTGCATCTCCTGGTCCCTACAAGTGAAGATAGACCTGCAAAGGCTCCACAAGGTGTCCTTGATAAAGCCTCTCTAGACAATCCACATAGTTTAACTCCGGGGTCTCCAACCCCCAGGCCGGTGGTCTGCACCGCAGGAGGTGAGTGGTGGGCAAGCGAGCCGAGCGTCATCTGTATTTGCAGCCGCTCCCCAGCACTAGCCTCACCACTGGGGAGCGGCTGCAAATACAGACGATCGTTAGGGCCCTTTGGGGTCTTTGGCCTTGCAAGGAGGAGGGAGCAGCAGCTGCAGAGTTGGGCAGCAAGTGGCACGGAGAAGCCAGGAAGTGCACGTGTGAGCGGCGAGGGGACTGGGAGGCAGGTAAGGGCTGGGCTGCAGGGCTGCAGGCGGGGAGGAGGCTCCCACGGATTCTGCATTATGGTGAGTCGCAAAATTATTTCACTATATATTACACTGTAGTAATAATAGAAATATAGTGCACAATAAATGTAATGCGCTTGAGTTATTCCGAATCCGACCCCTCCCCTGGTCCATGGAAAAACTGTTTTCCACAAAACCAGTCCCTGGTGCCAAAAGGTTGGTTTAACTTGTAAAGGAAAACAACAACAACGTTTTAAATGTAACCCACAGACCCCTTTGTAACAATCGGTAATTTACTTTTTGAGGGGCATTGTTGGTTGGATATATTTCTGGCTTTCACCTGGATTCTTGTTATTGGCTGCAGGAAATGAGTTGCAGTGGATTTGAAACAGGAAAATAGCAGGAATTCATGAACCCAAGGTAGTCAGATCTATCCACCTACACCATTCACCTTACAGATGTATTTGTGCATTTAAAAATGTATTTGTGAGTTTTCCAAAGTTGCTTACAGCATACTAAAATATAAACAACCCTATTACATTCATCATAAAATAAGATAAAAACACACTCCATGCTAAACTGGCAAAACAGGGAGCCTGATCAAGCTTCTTCAGATGCTTAATAAATGTAGTCTGGCTTGCTCCCTTCGCGGTAGCAGCTGAACCTTTAGTGCAGCTTTATGTTGGGGGGAAAGGAGGATTTATTCCCTCCTGGAAATGGTGAATATATTCGGTGTAGAAAAACATGTTACAGCAACCAGAATTTGGCTAAGAGTCCATACCAATGGCAAGACATTGCTTGTATTTTCTACAGAGAGCTGAAAGGAATCTGCAATTTCCCTACTCATGTCATGATCCAATCACGAATCTTTTTTCCTCCTGTAAGCTCTCTACTCCTGTCTCAACATAATGACACAGGGAATTCGGCTTGGACTCAATTCTAAACTGCAGGAGAATTATTTTTGACTTGTAGTTTCTACACTAGAAAGCCCCATTTGTACATTTTTATTACATGGGTGCTTTCAAGGTGCAAAGTATCCGAGTGGGATTTAAGGAAAGAAACTGATATCTGAAGATTCTTCCCGCATTGCTGCCTGTGGACATACTCAGGCACAGTCATGCTTATTGGTTCCTCCATTACGAAAAATATGAATTCTGTGCACCTTGGATTGATGTATGCACCTTTTCTTGCATAAAAAAATGTGCTTAATCGGGATGGGGCATAGGGTATTCATAAACGGTATGGAAACTCAGAAATGTACAGCATTTCATGACAAATGGTGTCTAAGTCCATAAGCGCAAAGTGGGAAAATAGTGATCCAAAATGAATCGAAACTTTCTTAAGGCCAGCACATTTTTCATCGCTCCTTTTCTCATCTTGCTCACCCCATTTGCTAGAGAACAACATGATGAGGCAAAGGGAACTATGGAAGAACGACTTCCTGGTCTAAGGAAAGAGCTGAAGGCTTCATCTGCAGCTTTTATATTTGTTTTTCTTGATCATCACACTTTAGGTCCTTTGCAAAAGAAAACAGGTGAAAGAATAATAATAGTAATAATAATAACAGCAACAATAATGCATTGCCTTTATATCCTGCTTCTTTTCTTTTTACAAGGAACCCAAGGTGGCTCATATAACTCCATTTTATCTTCATAACAACAAACTTGTGAGGTTGGTTATGTTGAGAGTGAGTGACTGGCCCAGGCAACTTCATGGCTAAGTGGGGCCTAGAAATTGGATCTCCCAGGTCACCAATCCAACACTCTAACTACCACACCACACTGACTCGGATGAATGAATGAATGTTTTACATAAATAAATGCCAAAATCGGGTGAGAGGGGTGCAAAAGGATTTTCCAGTTAGCATTGTAAGTGACATGTCATTTCCTAAGCATGTCAGTTCGAAACTACAGCAGAGTCCACACAGAGGGAACGAAAATACCCACTGGACACAGTTTTGCTACAAAAAGAGAAAACTGAGGGAACTACTTGCTACAGGGCTGGAGAAGGGAACGGTGACAGCATTCCCACAGAGTTATTAACTCTAGGATTAACCTTCTCCTCCCACACAGCAGTCCTGACAAAAATGCTCCTGAAGATATTATTCATCCTAGATGGAAATGTCCACTGGTGATACTGGGAGTTTTCCTGAGGACTAAGAGCAACCCTTGGGTGGGGTTTTCAGTGACGAAATAGTTAGTCTCCATGAAGGGTGTCAGTCTTCCTGAAGGTTAACTGTGGCAACTTTTTGTGCTGATGGTGCTTTTCTGAAGGAACTTCAAGTGATGTGTTTAGCATCCCACCTAGTTTAGCCCAGAACCTTCTTTGTAAGCTAATGAAATTCTGTAAAAGTAGAAATTGGATATGTTATTGTTTATTATTTATTGTAAGTATGTACATGTAGATCAATGTACAGAAAGATGCATACACACAAATGTGGCTCTCTCTTCTCATTTTATATTTCCCACTTGACTAAATGACTGCGGCTGCAAAACCTGGAGGTTTATCACTGGTTCAGTACCTGAAAGTGAAAAGGATTACCACTCTGGATGAGAGAGTCTATGAGCGGTTTCATTTTTCATTAGCTGGCAGTATACCATTTAAACTTAGGTAAGGACTATGTAGGAATCATTGGCGCGCTGCACATTTTTACTAGAGGCATATTTTAGAATTGTGTGTCAGGCCATCAAACCTGCTGGATGGTTGCCTGAAGAGAACACGACCTTTCCTCTTCAAGTTCAACATGTAAACACAATTCAAGACACCCACTGCTCCTTATGCTGCGATACCGGGATGGCAGGCTGCATTCTTGAACTGCAGACTCCAAAGATGCTTAACCACTTACTTGCTGCTCAGACAGCGTCTCAGGGAGTAAGAAGCGCCTCCCCCACACGTGCGGGAACATTCGCTCCATGAGCCCCAGGCGTCCCAGAGGGTATCTCGGTCCTCCTCGGATCGAGCGGTTCGAGAACTCTGGAAGAGAAAGGAAGGTAGGAGGAGAGACAAGGAGCCATTGGTGACAGTCAACATATTACAGAGGTAGCAATCTAATTTCTGTTATTCCATTTTCTGACTCTATACAAATCCAAAATTCTAAATCAAGAAAACAAATTCTTTAAACACGCAACATTTTTGTGGATTGGTATAAATTATGCAACTAGGTACATATTTGATTTGTGTTCTGTATTTCATGTCTGTGGTGCTTTTTTTCCAGAATCTGGAATATTTTGGTGGGAGAGCCAGTGTGGTGTAGGGGTTAAGAGCACGGGACTGGGACTCAGACGATCTGGGTTCTAGTCCTGCTCAGCCATGGAGCCAACTGGGTGACTTTGGGCCAGTCACAGACTCTCAGCCCAACCTCCCTCACAGGGTTGTTGTTGTGGGGATAACATGAAGGAGGAGAATGATGTAAGCTGCCTTGAGCCCTTTGTAGGAAAAAGGCAGGATATAAATCGAATAAATAAATAAGTGCTGTTGAGAAGCAGGGAACACAGAAGAGCTGCATGGGCAGCAGTTTGTTTCTATCAATGGCCAGGTAAATAATTTACTCCAATTGCTTTAAAGTGAGTTGTACTTTTCCTCATTATCCTTCCTTATTGAAAATAGCCTGCTCTTTATCAATCAACAGAGTATGGTTATTTTAAAATAAATAAATGACAACAACCCACAGTTCTACAGCACACATGATTCAACAACATCTCCTATTCATCCATATTCTGGGTTAGCGGTACATGTGAATCAGGCCAGTGTCTGGACAAAAATTACCAGTGAGCTTCATGGACAAATGGGAACTGGAACCCAGATCTCCCAAGTCCCAACCCAGAACACTAACTGCAAACCCAGGGACTATGGGATCGAAAAGGAGAGAGAGGGAGTAAAAGAGGGAGAGCGCATAACGAGGCCGCTAATTTTCAATCATACCTTTGAAAGATAAGTGAGTAAAATCTTGCAGCAATCCACCCACTAGTCAGCCACCACTTTTTATGCTTATGGACCATAGAATACCGGATCCAGTCACTGTATCTTAACAAATATCAGATACTGACCACTATCTGTCTCTTTCTTGCCAAGTGAATCTAGACAACCTGGGACACTCAGCCAATTGTGCTGGTACAGTAGAAATCACTGAAAAAGGCTATTTTTTAGCTACGGTTCTACATTTTTCTATATAAATATGACATTTGGCACCAAATATTGACTACTCTTCTGTGTATTGCAAAGGAGCAATGCTTCTAATACTCATGGATGTGGAGGTATGACTGGACCTGAGAATGAGTCACAAATGGGACAGCTCCACAGAGATCCCTGCATCCCCAGGAACTGTTCCCCAAATAACCACCTGCTGAGACATACGTCAAGGGTTTTGTGTTGTTGCTGTTGTTGTTTTTGGTTCTCGATTGCAGTGTACATCTCTTCCTCTTGTCTGCTCAGCTGAGAACCCAAATCTCATATGGGATTCCAAGGGAAGTACTTCCAGATGCCAGGAAGTACTTCCTGACAGTTAGGACCCTGAGGGGATGGAATGGGCTTCCACGGGAGGTGGTTGAGGCCCCATCAGTGAGGGTGTTCAAGGATAGGTTAGACATGCACATGGGGGGCATGCCGTGAGCAGAGCTGGCTGGAGCTGGGGTCAGACTAGATGGCCCAGGAGACACCTTCTGACTCACTCTGTTTTTATGTTTCTATGTTACATACTGCCTCCCTGATTCAATCACCCCCTTCACCTTGGACTTTTTCAGGTTTTCTTCAAGAAGGAAATCCAGAAATTTGCACATGCTCATTCTGGTGTGGATTAAATTAACTGTAATTCAGTTGATGTTCATTGCAAGATATAATAATCATGTGAATTGTATTTCTGAATTTATCTGTGAACATACTACACAAGGTACTGTGATATAAACACATTGACTATGGTTACGACCAGTCTGACAGAGGAGATGTTATTTGCCCCTGTAACATGAAGCAAATATTCTGGCTCCCTTAGGTCAAGTAAAGTAGGTTGATGGAGCTTCCTGATGTGAACTCTGACAAGTTGTGTCTTGCCAGAAATAAGAATTGCCACTCATTTTGGGATGCTCCAGAAACACCGTATTGCTGGTGCACAGGTAGTGGTAGGATACTAGTTCAGCAGAACTGGCAGGATAGATGAGAATGGGTGGGGCCTGTTGGATTCCCCCCCACCCACCCCAAGTTTGGTACTATTGTTTTCCCTACACGCACAGTTATTTCCTGGTTTGATCAAACCATCGTTTGCCATTATACCTGTCCGCCAAGTCAGGATTCTAGGTCAGCTACACAAACAGTTTTTCTGTGTTCTGTGACAGGGAAAAAAACAACCAGAGGGAGTCCAGCAAAGTGGTTGCTAGACATTGTCCAACGTCCCTTTTTAACCAGAGCTGGTCACTGGTGACAAGCCCAGTGTCTGAGCCAGCTCACTGCTCAGCACTGGGGAGAGGCTTCCTCTGCCTGCCCGAGGACTATTCCCAACTGGACTCTAAAGCAGAGTGAGGAAGCCTCTTTCAGTCCGAGGTAGTTCAGTCTGAGAAGCTCTCATGGGGTAGCTGACAGCTCTAAAGGAAGAGGTGATACCACCCTATTGCTGAGTAAAGCTCTTACTGTCAAGTAGTTAAGTTTTAGGAGGGATATTTCAACCTTTTAAAGGGCAAGAAGAACTTTACAGTCTCTGGGAAAACAACAAATTATCAATGGTTGGACAAAAGGGGTGGGACCAAGACAAGAGGTTGTGACCATATGAGTATCAGGTTGGAGCCTGGGGTTCCACCCTTGCTCTAAAGGTTCATTAATGGGATATGTTTTGCCCTTCAAAATTCTTCCCTATTAAAGAGAAAAATCTCTAATAAGCTATTATTAGAGATGGTGCGGAAGCACATCTAACAAAATATGTCGAAGCAGAAAAGTGGTGGACCTCAAGGATGGCTGAAGAATTAGCAAAACTTCTTCGAAAGACTGAGAGCAACACCAGACACAAGCACTGGCTACTGGCTTGGTTGTTCCAGGTTTCTCTATGATTTATAAACTGTGAAGGTTTCTATTGGGATGTAGCAACAGTTCAATGCAGAAATCATTTTGTTATCATGAAAGGGCTCTGTGAAAATCTTTGTCGTGATATCTGAAGCCTGGCAAAAAACTACCATGTTGAATGCAGTTATTCACAAGCAGGGCAGGGAAAGAAAAAGGGAAAAGATGTCTGCAGCTTGGGCCATGAACAGTTTGGTATATATCTTTTCAGGAAAGCCTTTGAACTTATCACAGAGCCAAATCCAAGCCCTCAACATCTACCAACAGCTGGGCACTGTGCCTGGGGCCCACTCTCTTTCAAGTTCTTTATCAAGTAGGACCTACCAATGTGGCTGTTGAGAGTCTTTAACGTTACAGTTGACAGCTGTTTATACTGTGAATGAAAGAACCAAGGGTTTATTTATTAGTAATGCTGAGGGAATGTGCTAATATACGCTGCTCTGTTCCTTCTTCCGCCCCCCTTTTCTTTAATCTAATCATGTGCAGTAGAAATGCTGACAGTTACCTATACTACCCAGCCATACTATTGCTGAGGTGAGTGGGCAACAAAGAAGACAAGAGCTTGTGAATTACTAGCACATTATTACCATAAAAATGGCTGCATAATTGGCTAAAGCCAATGCAGTTTTACTGTTCTGGCATGTTAGACTATTGACAGGAGATCAATGTGCACCAGGCTAAGGTACTGCAAAGGCACGGGGCTGTTCCTTGCTCAAGTATGATCATGTTTGGAGGCCTTGAAAGGATGGTGTTCAGCTGATCAGCATCTGCACACTTGGAAAAACCTGCACACACCGCTTTGGGATATTCTTCCCAGAGAGGTTTGCCTGATGCCTGCAAATATCTCATTGCAGTGCCAGGCAAATATTCTCAGGCATGTTCATGTTTCAAAAACAGTTAACAGTAGTTTTATCTTTGCTGTGTTTCTTTGAGGTTGTATTACCAGGTTTGCGGGGCTGGATGCCCTTGTGCATAACGATCATGATCGTGTCTTTTGTTTTTAACAACACTGTGCTTTTATTCTAGCTGTCTGTCCCTTGGGAACACTACCTGGGTATAAATATAGCAGCAAGTAAATAAAACAAACTGTCCTTCTGAAATAATTCGAAGTATGTAAGTCCCAAGTTATAATTGAACATTGAACTGTTTTTGTTTCCCTCTGTTTTGTTTCCCTCCCTTTGTTTCCCTATAACAACAAAATAGTTTGTTTGATCACAAAATAGTTTGTTTGATGCTATTCTCATATTATTTCATTTTAATTACCTGAGTGTGCAATCATATCCATTTTAACCAGAGAAAAGTCCTACAACACTCATGGCTGGCTGAGGAATGATGGCTAAGTTGTGAGAATTCATCCTGCCATAACATGCATGGGATTGCACTCTTCTTGATGGCATTCGCCTTTCCTGTTTTATTTCACATTACAGAACAGCACAAGTATGGTGTGGGACGAGGGACACATCTGCATGGTGGGACACATCTGCATTGACAGTCCTGCTGGTGTGCAGTATCAAAGACCATTGAGGAGAACTGTTGAGCACTAGTTGTAGTTTTTTTTAAATGGTCTCATTTTGCTTCACTTTGAGTTACATCAAAATCATATACTGATGAGTTAAGAGCAGAACACATGCGAATACTCAAGTTAGCCTTTGGATTTACAGCATGGGTTTTACTTCACCTTCCTCTTATGTATCATTTCCTTTCAATCACATCACCCTACAAAGTCAGTCTCAGAAAATGAGGCTGTCACTCTAGTGACAGCTGTGAAAAAACAAAATAAAGCCGACTTGTCTTATTTCCTGTAGCCACGCCAAAGGCAGGTCAGGGTTTCTAAAGGAAGGGTTGAGTGGCGAGGGTCAGGTGCAGGGCTGACGTGTAGGATTCACCCAACCGGTGTCCACTGACCTGTTGCTCCTTGACATTTCCCAAATGAC